AGACCTTCAAAGTCTACCCCATCAAAACCCAAAAAAGGACCGCCATGTGATTGCACCATGACTATCTTAAATTTAATGCGATTTGTGATTTATGATTAACATTGAAGTTAATTTTTTTAAAATTTAAAATTCTGATCAAATACATTAAATTTATGTTACACATATCTTAATTACATAAAAAGTGTTAAACAAGAGGATTAGAGAAAATAACCTTAGCATTCTTCTAAGAACAATTTTACATACCACAAATGATTGAGAAGAAAATTCCAAGAAAGATTGCGAGAGGGGAGGGATGGAGGTGGGATCCCTGGAGTCATTACCTACCCTTACTCGTCAAGGCCGTAATCCTCGCCGAAATATTTATCAACTAAACCGTTCGCCATATTTCTCAAGTCTTCATTTTCATGAAACTGGAATCTTTCCATGGCATCAATCCCATCTTCTCGTTCAACAAGCCTTGGACCCTCTCCGTTTGGCATTCCCCTTAATACCTGCACGAGGAATTAACTTTGTGTTAGGAACAAAGTTTTGCCATGATGAACATAACATCAACAATAAACTTGTCCATACAGGGAAGGAAATCCGAGGTATTTAAGAGCGGCGGATAGTTGAGTTCTACACCATGTGAAATGGGTTGATCATTTCATTGTAACAACCCAAACAGCAACCAGTAAACTAGGATGGAATCAATTCGGACTGCTAATCCGATATTATAAGTGCTTAGTTGATGCAAAAATTGACAGATAAGCTATTTATTAGATTTACTCACCAGCTCCATAAATTGAAGTCCTAGTCTTGCAGCCTCAGTATCAGCAGATCTGACCAAATCAATGAAACCAGAGAGGCACCCTTTCTGAACAAGGGAAACCAAGTGCTCCACAATCAGATTTGGCTTTCCACCATCACCTTCTGTTGGGGCAACACAGATGTTTCCCAAGACATAGGCCACTTCCTTTCTTATATCAAAAGGTGCCAGAGAAAGAAGGCGTAACAATAAAGGCAGTGCTTCACTAGAATATATCAGCTGCTTATGCTCAATGGAACCAGCAGCTATGTTTGATAGAACCCATGCTGCTTCCTACAATAACAGCAAAAGTTCTAAATAAGAATTGCTGATGATGATTAATGCCAAAACAATGAATATAAACCTGCTCACCTTCTTCAAGACCCT